CCATCCATTCAACAGTAACCTCCTTGTGTATCACAAAAATCTTGATTACTTTTGCAACACAAATGGTAAAACTTATTTAATAGCCACACTAACTTTGAGAGTTTCCCAACATGCTTAACAAAACTACAAATCAACAAAGTAAAACAAGCTAAGGAGTGGTTCTAGCTAAATGCCAAGTACATCAACAAGACAATCAATCCATGCGAGCAAGTAGTAGCCCTCTTTTTTTCTTTTTTTGCTGCTGTCTTTATGCTTAAGACTAAAATAGCCAAGATATATTTAATGCATAGAATGACTGCAGCGATATGTAATACTTGAAACAGGGGCCTGGGATAAGTCTCATCAGCAACAATAATTGTTTACCAGACACAAATATCCTGTAGGTGTTAAATGAACACCAGGGACTAGTGTGCAAGTGACACAGAGAAAAGATTGTCCTGGGGTATTGCAAGCCAGGAGCACAGCTGTGAAATTGCTCTGGCACACACTGTTACAGCTAATAACATGATCCTTTCAAACACACACATTAGAGTCTTCATGGCATTTGTAATTTGTTAAAACTCCCAATCTGTCACTTCATTCTGAGGACATGATGAGAAAGCCTGTACTCTGCTTGCCTGCACATACCTTGGCTTATCAGTACTTTTTACACATTTTACAGCGCTTCTGACAAACACCGAGCACGTATGAAGGGGCAAGCAAAGAGGAGAGTGATTTCTGTTACTTGCACACTTACAGCTACATAAGGGACAGCAGCACAGGCATGCCAGGGAAAATAGCATTTGTGAGATTCCACACCAGCACATTCAGAAATACAGCAATTGCAATTCAGGTGCAAAGATAAACCACTGGCACCATTTAAATGAACTCTGTGTTTCTGAAATGCCAACTGTAAAAAACTGCTGATATTTAATTTCGTTAGATATACTGCATCTGGTGTTTATGGCTTAGTGCTCCTGCCAGAGAGCCCCAGGAGCTTCGGTCTGGGAGCCAAGCCAGTGTCTACCAACTTAGTTGGACTACTGTGGATACACAAAGATCCAATATTCCTCTGATTTAAAGCTTTCAGGCAGATTTTCAGAGACTTTTGTTTTATTTATAGCTAGCATGTGTGGAGAGAAACGAAACAGTCATTTAATATGCTGCACAATTATGGGCTTATTTCTTCCAGTTTCACATTTCAGTAGCTTATTTTGAAGCGCAGAGAATTGGAAATCTGATTATTTCTACCTTAACCATTCATATGTGGATAGAGACAAAGAAATTCAGTAATAGAATGCCTTTCCATTAAAAGAGGAAAAGGCCAAATACAGTTTCATGACAAAAGATGGACACTTGCACTATTTATACAGACAGTCATCTTAACTGTTATGGTCACGTAACAGTTAAATGTTTTTCCTTCTTCCACTCCTTCTGGCACAGATTTATATCCTTCTGTTACAGGAAATTCTGACTTGTCAATGAAGATGCCCTGGTGTTCTGATCCCTGAAGTTTTAAGAGTCTCTTCTGCTTGAAACTGGAGTAGGTGCTCTCCAACCCTTCCTACAGAAAATCAGAATAATTCTGTTCATTAAATTGACAAAAAAAAATATTATGCCTCAGTCTAAAGAAAATTAAACAGAATTAGTAAAAACAAAGAGTATATATTCCATCTTCAGGGAATATTTTAAGCATCTGCATAGACAAAAATATTAAACAAAAGTGTGCACAATTTTATTTCACAGGGACGTGTAGGATGCTTGGCCATCTGCTGAAAATGTAAGGCTGCCAAATATCACAGATTCACACCTTGAGTCTGGAAATTGAGTTCACGTGGCAAATCCATGTATTTCTTGTCGTGTCTGCATTCCACTGGCCTTTCCTTTACCTACTACTCAGTTTTACACTTCACTGAGTCCTAAGCTGGATTGCTTCACAGTTTTTGAATGAGCAGAGCCCAATTTTGCAAAGTCCCACTGACTGCCACAGATCTGCTGGCAGGATACCTGACTGTATGCTTGACAGGTTTTCAGAATTGGGGAACATAAGAAAATCAGGGTGTTTGGGAGATCAGGGCCACCACTCAAAGGCACTGGCATCAGGAAAAGGAATAACATTGTGCAGTTCAGGGAAAATTCTTCCATTCTGAAAAAGTAATCAAAAGGAAAATCCTAAAGGGCTGAACTTTTACCAGCCACTAGCTTATACTATGAAAAAAACCTGAGACTTCCACGAATATCTGGCTTAATCAAAACCCTGCCATACTTTTAATTCATATAAACCTGTTCCTTGTATCTAATTAGCTGAGAGTATGGGACTAGCATTCCCCTAATTTAAAGGGTCTTAACCAGACCAGGACTAAGGCAACAACAGTAAAACAAGGTTTCAGACAATCTCTTTGGAAATCTTGCACAGATTCACCATCTTGCCACTGTCTATAGTGGAGAACTTTACGGTGAGATCTGCTAGATAGTGCAAAAGTCACCATTACAGTTGTTGAGCCTGGCAGGAAATAAATTTCTAGCACTTACTGGCAATTGGCAAGATGACAAATATAGATTGCACTTTTTAAAGTTTGGAAACCTATCTAACATTAATACTGTTTTTCATAATGTTTCCTCAAATATAAAAGTGATCTTTAAACTCCCCTATTATTTATTAGGTAGTTAGCCAATTAGCTGGCATCCACTCACAGATTTTTACCATTGAAACTGCAGTATACCTTTAATGCCTTCACAGCTCAGAGCTTTGGGGTCCACGTCTGGCTAGGACACAACACGACATGTATGTCTATGACTGCAGCTTGTATTGCTTTACCCCCAAACAGGCTAGCCAGTGCAGGCATCACAGTCACTATGCTGATTATGGGGGAAGCCTCACAGTTTAAGATAAGAGTCAGGTCAAAAAAGCTGAAAAATACTCTGACTTTTTACCTTTACTAAAGTATTTGCTTATAGAGCTGTCTTGCCAGCAAGCCTGAGCTACCTAGTTCAAAGGTAAACCAGGTAGCATTGCTGAGCTGTGGTCACTGCTGTACAGACACATCATGTACAACAAAAGCTACATCACCTCTTTTCTTTTACCTCATGTTTTGATACTTTGTAAGGAGTGTTTTTCACTGGACAACTTATCTGCCTGCTTATGTCCAGGATGTGCTAAATTACGTGTCTTTTTCTGTAGGTTTCAACAGAAACTGCAAACAGCATTTCACAGGATTCAACTTTTCTCGTTCTGTCTTATCTGTAAAATAGGGATAACCCTCACCTGTGTTGAAAACTTTATTTTCTAGGAGCACTTACACAGCAAAGCCAGCTGCCCTCCCTGCCTCTAAGGGGTCATGCACAGCATCCTTGAAATTGTGGGATATCTTTAATTCTTTCTCCCTTCCAATCTGCTGCCATTATTTAAAAATTATTTCTTCTGAAGGTCTTCAGGTT